GGTTTGCTTCCAATAATTAAATCTAAGTCATTAAAAAAAAAAGATTTTGAATATTTTATCAGAAAACACAAGATAAAACTTTTTTTTTTAAGATTTTATTTATTTATTTGACAGAGACACAGCGAGAGAGGAAACACAAGCAGGGGGAGTGGGAGAGGGAGAAGCAGGCTTCCCGCAGAGCGGGGAGCCCGATGCGGGGCTCGATCCCAGGACCCCAGGATCATGACCTGAGCTGAAGGCAGACGCTTAACGACCGAGCCACCCAGGCGCCCCAAAGATAAAACTTTTATAAAAAAGTCTGTTTGGGGCACCTGGCGGGCTCAGTCAGTAGAACATGCAACTCTTGATCTTGGGGTCACAAGTTCAAGCCCCACACTGGGTGTAGGGATTAGTCAAAAAAATAAATAAAAATTTAACAACAAGTCTCTTTATTTTCGTGAGACTGAATGAGCTGAAAAATATCTTAGGAGGGTATTTCTCTATTTTATGTTGGAGGATACCACACTGTAGCTCACAGCTAACAGCAGAATTTTTTTTTTTTAAGATATTTTATTTATTTGGGGTGCCTGGGTGGCTCAGTCATTGGGCGTATGCCTTTGGCTCAGGTCATAATCCCAGGGTCCTGGGATCGAGCCCCACATCGGGCTCCCTGCTCCATGCGAGGCCTGCTTCTCCCTCTCCCACTCCCCCTGCTGTGTTCCCTCTCTCACTGTGTCTCTCTCTGTCAAATAAATAAATAAAATCTTTAAAAAAAAAAAAAAAGATTTTTTACTTATTCACTTGAGAGAGAGAGAGAGAATGAGTGAGCGGGAGGGAGCGGGAGAAAGAATCTGAAGCAGACTCCGCACTAAGCACAGAGCCCAAAGCAGGACACGATCCACAACCGTGAGATCTCGGCCTGGGCCAAAACCAAGAGTTGGACACTCAACCGAGTGTTAGGTGCCCCTAACAGCAGAATTCTAACCTAGATCTCTTGGCCTCCAAAAATCTGCTTTCAATGAGGATGCCATATTGCCTATTACATACAACCTGGGAAAGTTCTTGGCAGCTCTGACTCTCCCCATTTGCTAGTGGTAGCAGCTAGTCGTCAGGACCATAGGCCTCATATAAGGCAAAAGGCTGGTATGTGGCCAACGCAGAAACAGCAAGACAAAAAGGTGGACAAGATGACCCCTGCTGAGAATTTTACACATAGTAAGGCATACCCATAAGCAGATGGCCTACAATAACTGGGCCTCTGCTCCTTCATCTGACAAACGAAGCCAGTAATTCCAAGTTATGGTTTACAAGGCACTTGGGCATCGAGTTTTCACTTGATCTTCATGAATCCTGAATGTGAGTAGCAAGTCAATAGAAACCTGCAGACGTAACCATGCAGGTGAGAAAATTAAGGTGCACGGACTTGTCAAAAATGTGTGTAGGGGCAGAGAGAGAGAGGGCAGATACAGATGCATCTAAGGAAGTTTAAGGGGGAAGGGGAAATCTATGGTAATGTAGAAAGAGTGTAGACTCATGTCAGACAGCTGAATTTAAATTCCAGCTCTAATGCTTATTGGATTGTGACCTTGGGCAAATGACTTAACATCCATGTGCCCCGGTTTCTTTGTCTATAAAATGGGGTGAGGTGGGCCTTGGAAAGGCTTAATGAGATCAAAAGAAGTAACATGTAAAATGCCAACGCAGTAACTGGCATACAGTGAGTAGGTTCATTACTCAAGGTAAGATGGCCTGGGTTCAAATCCCAGCTCTGCCACTTACAACTAACTGAATAAACTGGGGGAAATGATGGTCTATTCCTGTGCCTCAATTTCCACACCTGTAAAATGGGAATAAATAAAAATACGTCCTCACTGGGTTGTTAAGGCAGTAAATAAAGAATTGATGTAAAAGTGCTCAGAATGTGCATTTGGCACATCGGTAAAAGCTCAGTGTTTTATCTGGTATTCATCCTTCATTTTCCAAATGTGGAAGCCTCAGTATAGAGAGGTTGGCTAACTTGCCTGTGATCAACAGCTGCTAGTGACAGAGCTTCCACACTTGATCTTAGCCAAAAGGCCGAGAAGCGATGTGACAGAGCTTCCAATGAAGGTCTAACTCCAAAGTTCATTATATGGCCTCCCAGTCCTCCTCGGCCCCTCCTTTTTGTATGCAACCCCATGGGCCTTGGAGTCAGAGACAAGTTCCACCTACCAGCTGTGTGACCTTGGGAAGCCTTCTTAACCTCTCTGAGCCTCAGTTTCTCTTTGTAACAGTATCTACCCTCGTAAGATTGTGAGGAGCCACAGAAAGAATGTACATACAATGTTTGGCTCAGTGGCTGGCGGCAGGGGCTCAGTAAATGTTAGCTATTGTTACTACCTTCCTTCACTTTTTTTTTTTTTTTAAGATTTTATTTTTATTTATTTGAGAGAGAGAGAATGAGAGAGAGAGAACACCTGAGAGGGGATAGGGTCAGAGGCGAAGCAGACTCCCTGCCGAGCAGGAAGCCCGATGCGGGACTCGATCCAGGGACTCCAGGATCATGACCTGAGCGAAGGCAGTCGCTTAACCAACTGAGCCACCCAGGCGCCCACCTTCCTTCACTCTTGCTACTCACCCCTCCAAGTATCAGCTCACTTCCGCCCTCACCATTCTGCAGGGTCACCAATGACCTCCTTACTGCTAAATCCAGTAGACACGCCGACCCCCATCCTATTTGACTTCCCAGCAAGATCCAACACCCTTGATGTGCTTTCCGTTGAGAAATGCTTCCATGCCAGAGAGCTTCCATGCCAGAGAGCTGAGGGAAACAGCTCTCTGCTCACCCCGTCTAAGTTTCTGCCAGTCTTAAATGTTTTTCCTAGGCTCCTTCTATCCTCTCTCTAGCACAGGGTTGCTCAACTTTGGCACTATTATCTTGGGCTGGACAATTCTTTGTAATACGGCTGTCCGGTGTGTTGTAGGCTGTTTAGCACACATATGCCGGTAGCATTCCGTGGGCCACAGCCCCCCCCATACCTATAACAACCAAAAAAGTCCCCAGATATTACAAATGACTCCACGGGGAACAAAATCGCCCCTCGTCGAGAACTATACTCTGATTCATTTCATGGGCATGGTCCCCGGCTTTCTTGGCTTTAATCACTATCTTAAAGCTGATGACTCCTAATCCACACCTCCAAACTAGAGCTCGCTCTCAAACTTAGGATCCAAGTGCCCAGCTGCTGCCCTGACACCTCCCCTGACACGGTTCTCAGGTACGTCAAACCCCACCTGTCCTTTTTTCTTTTTTTTTAAGATTCTATTTATTGGTGAGAGAGAGAGAGCACAACCAGGCGGAGCAGCAGGCAGAGGGAGAGGGAGAAGCAGGCTCCCCACTGAACAAGGAGGCGGATGCAGGACTCGATCCCAAGACCCTGGGATCATGACCTGAGCCGAAGGCAGACGCCCAACTGACTGAGTCACCCAGGTGTCCCTAACTCTTCTTTTATTCATGAGGAAACTGAGCCAAAGACAGCGTCATTGGCCTCTTCATACATCATAAATAAGAAATCACTTGGGGGCTCAGTCGTCTGCCTTCACATTTTGCACTCTCTAACGCAGTTTATACATATCTCTCATTGCCTTCCAGGATATTATATATTTATATGATTATCTCTTGAACAGATTATAAGCTCATTTGGGGAAGGGTCAACATTCACTCAAGCATTTTTATGGTATTTACTAGGCACCAGACACAGTGAGCCTTGGAAAGGGGAGGGGAGGTTGTGCTCCAAAAGCAACAACATCAGGTGCTTGGGCATAACGGTTAAGAGCAGGGGATCTAGAGTAGGGCTGCCTGAGTGCAAATTCAGACCCCAGTATTTACTAGTCGTGTCAACTCTGAGCAAGCTATTTAACCCGTCTAAGCCTCAGTCTCCTCATCTGTAAAACAGGGACAATAACAGCCAACCACCTCACAGCATTGTGTGATGATGAAATGATTCCTCACCATAAAGTGCTTACAACTGTGCCTGGCACCTAGCAAGGGCTCAACATGTGTCTGACATTCTGCTAAATAGCTCTGGTTCTCTACAGGGCCTGACAAACGGCAGGACACTCAAATCAATTACTATGGTGCCCACCGTAATCACTGACCAGAACTCAGTGTACAGGAAGAGAGCAGAGACATATGTAAACAAATACTCACATACAAGATTCCGAACGTCCCAAGAGCCTTTCAACCCTAAGATAGCATTGACTTGCACGGCTAGAGCGAAAGGAAACACTCCCTTATTTCGCTGGTGCGTGATCTCAGCACATCTTAGGCTGTCAACTCACACCCAGCAGCGGCCGGTCTGAACTTCGGCCTGCCCTCCTGCATCTCCCAGGGATCTCCCCTCACCCAAACAGTAAGTCATACACAGAACCCTTCCCCCCAAACGCGCATCCAGCTCCTTTCTTTTGGTCCTTACGGTTAAGTGTCGGCTACTTTTCGCTCGATTACTCACGTCATCTCCCGAGATGGGGTCACTGTCCCCATTCCACAGAGAAACTGAAGCTCACAGAGGAAAAGTGCGCTAGGCTCAAACAAAGCTCTAGTGTCGGAACCGGCTCTTAACACGGTCCACTGACCCGCGCGGAGAGCTGGAAACAGTGAGCAGGAAAGAGCGAGGGGGGCTGACCAGCTCGGGACTCCCACACTCCCACCTTCCCCTCCCCGCCCCCGCGCCATTTCGGCCTCTCCCCGACAACCCGCGGAACCCGGACCAGACTCCGGCGCATTACCCCACCAGCCTCCAGACTTCGGCGCCCCGCCCAGGCCGGGCTCGCATACCTGAGATCGTCGCCGCCATCTCGCGTCGCCTCCGCTGCGCCGTGCCCCCCGCGTCCATTCCACTCCCTCCGTTGGCCCGCCTCTCGCATTCGAATTTCCCGGTGCCCCGCCCCCTGTCCTGGGCTCCACCAATCACGGCTACTCGCCGCCGGAAGCCCCGGCTGGTGGCTCGCGACTATCCCGCCCTCTAGGGTTCGCCTCAGGGACCTGCAAGAAAGTGTCCCGTGGCGGAGGACGCATGCGCGCAGGTTGGCCACCCAGCCGTGGACGTCGCGGCCCGCGCCCCGCTCGAACGCTGGTGCCGAAGGCACGGGCGGCGGTGGCCGTCGGACGAGGTGCTGGGCGCGGCTGGGCACTGCACTCCCCGTTACCTTCTGGCTTTCGGGTTTCCAAGCAAAGATTTGCGTAAGTGCAGACTTTTCGCCTCCTTTTCCCCCCTCAACCATGAATTTTGGTACAAATCAAGCAGCGATTCAATAGATTTCCCCCCAAAATTTCCTTGAATTGAATATTCTAAGTGAGCTTCACTTTCTGCAGTTTCTTGCCTCGGGTTGTTTCGCGCCCTGTGGGGTGGGGTGGTCGTTCTTGTGGATTTCAGGACTTGAACTCAGTTTCAGTCAACGGGGTGCTTTACCTTCTGGTCACTTGTGTCACTCCTGTAGGTCTGGACCACGCTGTCTGGATGTAGACAGTCATGGTGCACTCACGTCTTGCTGAGCCCAAATCCGCCATGTGAGGTGCAGATGCCAGGTTACATATGTGCCCTCTTATGTCAAATCTGAGCCCGGGAGACCAGCTCAGATGTTCCTTACTCTGTAACTCAACACATCGGAGTGGGCGTTAAAGGCGTGTTCAGTCTTTTACCTTGTCAACTTCACCCACGGTTCCACCCACCCAATGTCCTGTGGTTCACCGGTCTGTGAAGTAGTTACCTGTCCCTTCTGGAAGCTTAACCAGGGATGAATATCCCATCTTTGAGCTCCTGGTAGGGCCCTGGTTTAGAGATGATGTCCAGCCTATTAAAAAAAAAAACAAGTGGGGCGCCTGGGTGGCTCAGTTGGTTAAGCGACTGCCTTCGGCTCAGGTCATGATCCTGGAGTCCCTGGATCGAGTCCCGCATCGGGCTCCCTGCTCAGCAGGGAGTCTGCTTCTCCCTCTGACCCTCCACCCTCTCATGCTCTCTCTCTATCATTCTCTCTCTCAATAAAAAATTAAAAAAAAAAATCTTAAAAAAAAAAAAGAAATACTGCGAATGTGGGCGCCTGGGTGGCTCAGTTGGTTAAGCGACTGCCTTCGGCTCAGGTCATGATCCTGGAGTCCCGGGATCGGGTCCAGCATCGGGCTCCCTGCTCGGCAGGGAGTCTGCTTCTCCCTCTGACCCTCCTCCCTCTCATGCTGTCTCTCATTCTCTCTCTCTCTCAAATAAATAAATAAAATCTTTAAAAAAAAAAAAAAAAAAAACAAGTGTTAGACCAGTGGTTCTCAAATTTTTTGGCCCTGGAATCCTTTTACATTCTTAAAAAGTGAGGCTCCAGGGGCACCTGGCTGGCCCAGTCGGTAGAGCATGCAACTCTTGATCTCGGGGTTGTAAATTTGAGCCCCATGTTGGGTATAGAGATTACTTAAAAAAATAATTAACAGATCTTAAAAAAAAAAAAGTTGAAGCCCCAAAGATCTTTTGTTTATATGGGTTGTGGGTTGTGTCTATTCAATAGTTACTGTATTAGAAATTAAAACAAATTAAAAATATTTATTAATGCACTTCAAAATTGCAGTAACAAATCCATTGAGACAGAAGGTAGATCCGGGCTCGGTGAAGGGTTGGTGAATTGGGACTATGGCTGTTAGGTATGGAGTTTCTTTTTGGGTGATAGAAATGTTCTGGAATTAGTGTGATAGTTGCACTACATAGTGAATATACATAGTGAACTGAAAACCACTGAATTGGTTTTTTACACTTAAAAATGGTAAATTTTATGTTGTGTGAATTATATCTCCATTTAAAAATCTCAAAAAATTACAATAACAGACCCATTACATATAATATAAATAACATTTTAATTTTAAAAATAACTTTTCCAAAGCAAAAAAATATATATATAGTAAGAAGAGTGGCACTGTTTTACATTTTTATGAATATAATGCCTGACTTAAGGGAAAATAGCTGTATTCTCCTATTTGCTTCTGCATTCAGGATGTTGTGATATTAATATGTCATATAGCTTCTTGAAAACTCCACCATATACTCAAGAAAGGATGCAAGGGGAAAAGGCAAATGGCATCTTAGTTTTATTATGAAAATAGTTTTGGCCTTGCAGACCCTCCCCCTAAGGTGTCTCAGTAGCCTCCAGAGTTTCCTGGACCACACTTGGGAAACCACGGACTTAAGATGATTGGCAGCTTGGTCTTCCCCACACTTCAGGAAGGGCTCTTCATATTTTCATATTTGTTGCCAGTCCCCAGATATTTGGTAAGATACCTGCCAGAAATGGTTCTGTTGGTGGTTGTAGTTTAGGGATTTGACCTTTGCTGTCTCCTGGGTGACTGCATCAGCTTGTGCAGATTCAGGCTTCTCTATTCTTGGGAATGCTCAAGATGCCTGGCGCTGTGTTTACTTAAAATGGCTCTTTCCCTGCTACCTTCTGCAGTGGGAGCTTGAGGACTCAGTACCAGCCTCTGTGGAGTTCCTGATGATCCACATGAGGAAACAGTCATAGTTCTATATCACCCAGTTAATTTGGTTAATTTGGTGACCTCCTGTAGGGAGGGTCTTGAGGAGGGCTTTTTTTTTTTTAAAGTAATTTCTACACCTGACCTGGGCTCGAACTTAACAACCCCAAGATCAAGAGTCCCATGTTCTACCAACTGAGCCAGCCAGGCGCCCCTAGCTGGCAGAGGCTGGGTGGGTGGTGGGGGAAGAGAGGAGTGTTCTTTTTGAGAGATTGCCTTTCAACTTCAGGTTGCCATCAGAGGAGTTGTGGGCTCTCTTTGTAACTTGTGGGCCTTTGGGCCCTTCATTCCAGGCATGTTCCAGAGCACTCCCTACTTGAGGAGACCTCAGGCATGCCCCTGTTCCAGGCCACCTTCTTCATACACATAGCTCAGTTATCCCTATATAGCATTCAACCACTGCACAATGAGGCCAGTTGTTTTCATGTAACAGTAAAGTCTTAGAAATTAGATTTCTAGATGTATGAGCTCAATACATCTTAGAGAGCGTGTGACCCAGAGAAGCTCATTTTACATGTGGGTGATTGAAACCCAGAGAGGTTAAGAGATTTGAATGAGACCATGTAGCTGTGCAAAGGTAGGACTTAGCTTTCCCAAGTCCAAGTCCCTGGGCTGTACTCTGTCAACTCACTATGACATCTAGTAGCTAATAGCTAAGTTCCCTGCATTCCTCAGTAATCATTTTATCTGATTTTGGTCAGCAAACTCCTTCACTGCCTGCTATTGTCCTAACTCCCCACCCCCAGCCCTCCTAGGTTTTCTCATGTGCAACAGCTAGTTTATATGTCTGGCTGGGCTGTAGTCGAGCATTCAGTCAAAACTAACCTAGGTGTTGCTGTTGAACCCGGGGGCTCTTGACTGGCTCTGTTGGTAGGGCATGCCACTCTTGATCTCAGGGTGGTAAGTTCAAGACCAACCTTCAGAGTAGAGATTACTTAAAAAAAAAAAAAAAGTTGAACACATAGAAACAGTAGAATGTGGTTGCCAAAATCTGGGAAGTATGGGAAATGGGGACATGTTAGTAGAAGGGTACAGACTTTCCACTGTGTCGCATGGAGACTGTAGTTGAAAATACTGTATTGTATGATTGCGATTTGCTAACGTAGTAGATCTTAAGCATTCTCACACCAAAAAAATTTTTTTAAGGGTACCTATTGATAAAATAAGATATGGGAGGTGCCTGGGTGGTGTAGCCAGTTAAGTGTCTGCCTTTGGCTCGGGTCATGATCCCAGGGTCCTGGGATCGAGCCCTGCATTGGGTTCCCTGCTCTGTGGGGAGTCTGCTTCTCCCTCTCCCTCTGCCCTTCCCCCTTGCTTGTATGTTCTTTCTCTCTCTCAAATAAATAAATAAAATCTTTAAAAGTAAATAAATAAATAAGATATGAGGATATAATATACAGCATAGGGAATATAGTTAATAATATTGTAACAATTTTTTAAAGATTTTATTTATTTATTTATTTATTTGTTTATTTATTTGAGAGAAAGTTCAAGCATGAGCAGGGGGGAGGAACAGAGTCTGCTGAACATGGAGCCCAACGCGGGGCTCGATCTCACAACCCTGAGACCACAGCCTGAGCCGAAACCAGGAGTTGGACACTTAACTGATTGCGCCACCCAGGCGCCCCAACCACTTCATAATGTATTTAAATAGTAAATCACCATGTTGTATACCTGAAACTAATACAATATTCTATGTCAATTATTCTTCAAAAAAAATTTTTTAAGGTAACTGTGAGGTGATGGGTGTGTTAAGTAACTTGATTGTGGGAGTCCTTTCACCAGGTATACATATCAAATCATCACGTCATACACTTCAAAAATATTAGAATTTTATTTGTCAATTATACTTCCAATAAAGCTGGAAAAAATTTTTAAGAAAATTAAGTTACTAAAAGTGTAACATTTGATGATATAATACATTAATTTACAAGGAAGCAAAAGAACAAAACTGGGGTTTCCCTGAGGAAGAAGAAGTTCCACCCATGGACTGCAGCACGCCCTCCTGCCCTCAAGTTTCCAGATGGCCAGCCTGCCCTCCAGATTTTAGACTTGCCTCACCCGCCTCCACAGTTGTGGAGCCAATTCTTTGCAATAAGTCCCTTTATCTATAGGGGTCGCCTGGTTGGCTCAGTCGGTGGAGCATGCAACTCTTGATCTCGGGGTTGTGAGATCAAGCCCTGTGTCAGGCCCCACACTGGGCATAGAGCCTGCTTAATATTCTCTCTTCCTCTGCCCTTCGCCCCCCAAAAAATTAATTAATTTTAAAACAAGGCTAATTTTTCCTTGTACTCCTCATCTTAGAGAGGATCCAACTCTTCCCAGTTGCCGATACTAAACATGGTAGTTCTTCCAGACTTTCCTCCTTCATGCACCTTCATGCGTTCATTTATCAAGTTCTGAGTCCACGCTCCCCCTTGAATCTCTCAAATTCCTCCCTCTCTTCTCTTCCTCACATTGTTGCCTTTGTTCAGATATCCATCATCACTGATCTAGACCTATTCTCTTAACTATTACCCTGCTTCACCTTCAATCCATTTTCCCTACTTATACCAGAAAAAAATGACTTCCTTATAAATCTTTCTCAATCCTTTGGGTGAAATTGTGTCCTTGACACAAACGTAGGCCATGCTTTGGGAGTCAGGTGGATTCTGGGAAACAACAAAGGAAAATGGCCCAGGGACAGCCAGTGAGTTAAGGTCAAGAGCCTTTTGGTGGAGAGGCACTATCTCAAGGGGAGAGAAGGGTGAGAGAGTGGAACATCTGGGGGTTTGGTGATGAGCCACAGCTAGGCCTTAACCCCAGCCTCAGAACACCAGTTTGGGTAAACAATCTCAGGAGCTATCCTTGAAGAAAAGAGTCAGTACAAGCCCAAATCTTATCTCCTCTTGATAAATTATGAAGAAAAGCCCAAATGGCTTCATGTAGCCCATAAAATAAATAAAGTTTCAATAGTTTAGCATGACATTCATGGTCTCTGCCTGTCCATGAGCTTCATCTTTGCCGAGTTGTACTCTGCATTTTAGCTGTGCTAAACCACTTGTCATTTTCATATGTTCGTATTTCTGCATAACCTGGGGCCTGAGCCCAGTACTGGGCCCCTGTACACATGTGTGCACGTGGACACACACACACACACCCCACCCCTTCCTTCACCAAGTCTTCCTTAGCCTAGAGGAAAAGAACCCAACTTTCAGTGGTCTTTGTATTCCGAAGCACCTAGCAGAGAATATTTGATAAATGTATGATTAGCTCAGTTTAGCAATTTTCAAACTTTGTAAGTGAATAAAAATTTTCTTTAAATCAAATCTTTGGGGCGCCTGGGTGGCTCAGTTGTTAAGCATCTGCCTTCGGCTTGGGTCATGGTCCCAGGGTCCTGGGATCGAGCCCCGCATCAGGCTCCCTGCTCAGCGGGAGGCCTGCTTCTCCCTCTCCCACTCCCCCTGCTTGTGTTCCCTCTCTCGCTGTCTCTCTCTCTCTGTCAAATAAATAAATAAATAATCTTAAAATTAAAAAAAAATAAAATAAAATCTTTTACAGAAGCCTAATATGTAAACTAGACAATAGCCAGGAATCCCATTACTTCATCCTCTTCTGCTGCTTCTGCCTCTCAGGTACGAGTGCGTCCACCCGGCCCCATGTGAAGGCCGCTAGCTTAAAGCGTGTCCTGAAGTTGACCAGATAGCTCTGTCAGACTCAGCCATACAAAGGAACAAAGTCCTGACACATGCTACAGCATGGATGAACCTTGCAAATATGGTAAGTGGGAGAAGCCAGACACAAAAGGCCACGTTATTGTATGATTCCCTCTACATGAAATGTCGGGAATAGGCACATCCATAGAGACAGAAAATAGATGGGTGGTTATAAGGGGCTGGAGAAAGGAATGGGGAGTGACCGCTTAATGGGGCTGAGGTTTCTTTCTGAGCTGATGACAGTATCCGGGAATTAGAGAGGGATGATGGTTGCACAATCTGTACTAAAAACCACTGAAATGATACACTTTAAAAGGGTGAATTCTATGTGCTTTATATCTCAAAAAAAAGTAATTACAGTGACATAATTATTCCATTCCATGGAATTGTTTGAGAGAAATAAAGAAATTGTTATAAAAACAAGCTAGGTATTAGTTTACTTCTGTAATGTTAGTATTTCTTTCTAAAATTACATGTAAGGGGGCGCCTGGGTGGCTCAGTTGTTAAGCATCTGTCTTTGGCTCAGGTCATGATCCCGGGGTCCTGGGATCGAGCCCAGCATCAGGCTTCCTGCTCAGCAGGGAGCCTGCTTCTCCCTCTCCCTCTCCCTCTCCCCCTGCTTGTGTTCCCTCTCTCGCTGTGTCTGTCAAATAAATAAAATCTTTAAAAATAATAAAATAAAATTACATGTAGGGACGCCAGGGTGGCTCAGGCAGTTAAGCCTCTGCCTTCAGCTCAGGTCATGATCCTGGGGTCCTGGGATCGGGTCCCACATCAGGCTCCTTGCTCGGCAGGGAGTCTGCTTCTCCCTCTGCCTGCCATTCCTCCTGCTTGTGCTCTCTCTCTGACAAATAAGTAAAATCTTTTAAAAATAAAAATAAAATTATGTTTACATAATTGTTATCTTTGTCTGACTAGGGAGAAATGTGACTCCGGCACTCCCCATGATGTGAATCAATCTTTTGGGAGCAATGAGTGACTTCCCCCACCCCCAACCATCACCACCAAAAGACAAAACAAAAAACCGTCACAATCTTAGGACTGGCAACTGGAGTCTTAAGAATTCTCTCCAAAGCAACTTTATATTCTTTTTTTTTTTTTTTTAAGATTTTATTTATTTATTTGAGAGAGAGAGAATGAGAGACAGAGAGCATGAGAGGGAGGAGGGTCAGAGGGAGAAGCAGACTCCCCGCTGAGCAGGGAGCCCGATGCGGGACTCGATCCCAGGACTCCAGGATCATGACCCGAGCTGAAGGCAGTCGCCCAACCAACTGAGCCACCCAGGCGCCCAAGCAACTTTATATTCTTGATGTATCTCTGCAGCCACTCTGTTGCCTCTGGAACACTAAGCAACCCCCTAAGTTCATGGAAACCCACGATGGAAATCTACCCCTCTTGTAATGCCCTTGTTTGAGGATGGTATTGGCAGAGGAGAAGCTGTTGAGGAGGTGGTGGCTTCCTAGGGAAAGAAGCCCAATTCTGAGCGAGCTAAACTAAGCAAGGACACCAGTGCTTCTGGGCAAAGGAGGGGGGGAGGGGGGAAAACTAGGCTGGAGTCACAGGCAAGGTCCTTGACACAAACGTAGGCCATGCTTTGGGAGTCAGGTGGATTCTGGGAAACAACAAAGGAAAATGGCCCAGGGACAGCCAGTGAGTTAAGGTCAAGAGCCTTTTGGTGGAGAGGCACTATCTCAAGGGGAGAGAAGGGTGAGAGAGTGGAACATCTGGGGGTTTGGTGATGAGCCACAGCTAGGCCTTAACCCCAGCCTCAGAACACCAGTTTGGGTAAACAGTCTCAGGAGCTATCCTTGAAGAAAAGAGTCGGTACAAGCCCAAATCTTATCTCCTCTTGATAAATTATGAAGAAAAGCCCAAGACTTTTGCACCTCTCTCTCTCTCCCTCCCACTCTTCCCCAGAATGACGTCCGTCCGACAGATAAGCAGAAACGAGCTTCGCACGTCCAGAAGCAGAGCCAGGAGGCAGATCCCAGCGGCACACCCCCACAGACACAAGTGGTAGCTATGTCCTTTTAGCTTTTTTATTGAGCCATGTGGATGAGGTTCATGGTAAAGAGGTTCTCACACCCCCTTGCGGTGCCCAGCCTGGGACGGAACTGAGGCTCAGCAACTGCCACAGTCACTGGGGTAGACGTCCCAGTGCAGGCCGATGGCGTTGATGAGGGAGCCAGCGCGACCACTGATGAATCGAAGCACAGTGTGGGGGTACAAGGGGACAGCTTTGAAACGCCTGCCTTTGTTTTTCCCAAAAGGCAGGTGGCGGCCCTTGTCAGTCACGAAGACCAGCTGCCTCACGTAGTACTTGTACTTGCCGGACACCTGGATCACTGACTCCCCAGGGTGCAGGACGATCTCCTCCAGTTTTCCCTGGGTGCCGCCCACGTAGTCGCTCCACACCTTGCCATAACGGACCTGGAGCCTAGAGGCCGGGCAAGGAGGGAAGGAAGACCGACGCTGAGTGGGGTGATCCGAATTCAGGACCCCTTGGCCTACCTGCCGAGACCTGCAAACTGGTGACGGGTGACAGGCCTCCTGCCAGTCCCACAGTGTGTGAGGGATGAGTGAGCCCTTGAGATCATACAGGGAACTTCAACTCATTATGCCGACAAACACATAGGCTCAGAAAGGAAAAGTCACTTAGCCAGAGTCACCCAGACCAGACCAGTGCTGGAGCTTGATTTTGAAATCTAGATTCCTTGGGGCGCCTGGGTGGCTCAGTCGGTTAAGCAGCTGCCTTCAGCTCAGGTCATGATGGGATCGAGTCCCACATCGGGCTCCCTGCTCAGCGGAGAGCCTGCTTCTCCCTCTCCCTCTGCCTGCCTCTCTGCCTACTTGTGCTCTCTATCTCTCTGTCAAATAAATAAATAAAATCTTCAAAAAAAGAAAGCTAGATTCCTGCTGTGCCCCCCCCCCACACACACCCCACCCCATGTGAAAGGAGCAGAGGGATCTTTCTGGAAGGTTCTCATGAGGGCAGAGACTTTGTTGTCCCAGGATATAGTCCAGGATCGGAAGGATACACATTTTTAGAAGATGCATCAGCAAAGATGGAGGATGCCAGAGGGGCCTTAGACCTTGGATGGGGCCAAACCAGCCACCTTCCAGGCGCCTGAACAGCTATGGTATAGGATTTGCCCGAGGTTGCGTGTGCTTGGGCCTGTAGCAGCACGGGACTCAGATCTCGGTCTTCTAACCACTCTCACATATTATCATTGCGACTTGCTGACTGGAACAGACGTAACCCAAAGTGACTGAGAACTTTCCAAGATCAGAGGGGATCCCCAAACCCGGAGAAACACAAGGAATCTTACCCTACGATGTAGTATCTGTTGACCCGGATACGGATGGCGGTGATGGGACCTTCCAGCTGGTAACCAGAATGGGAGAATCGCTGCCCTCCACCGCTTCCATACTCTCCATTGTAGGAGGAGGACCTAGTCTGAACTGGAGGGGACAGTAGGAGTTGGAGGGGGAAATCTCAAGAGCTCAGTTTCTCCCCACCATCCCTATACCTCCCACAACTCAGTGCCCACCACTCCAAGCCAGCTTGGCCACCAGCAGTGAAGGAGGCTGCCTTCCCATGATGCTAGTGCTGGGCTCCTGGCTTCTCACTTACTGGCACCGGCCGAGGCTGATACACAGAGAAGGGCAAGAAGAGAAATGGTCAACATCCTGGCGCTGAAGTGGAAAGAAAGGAGAAAGTCAAGGGTTAGCCTTTTTCCTCTGGACTTCATTTAGCCAGGTATCCCTGACCTCAGTTGAGACTCAGCCTTCTTTGTCCTTCAACTGAGACCTAACTGACCCAGTCTTGGGTTTGGAAAGGATTTTCCCTAGTCTCTGGTCCTGCTCCTAGAAGTCTATCTTCTGTGTCCTTAACCCCTCTGTCCTCCCTGGTCTGGAGGTAGCCAACTCCCTTCTTCCATCCCAGATCAGAAGATCGATCCTAACCCTCTGTCTGGACCAAGCTGTGTTAAGTCCTGTTCCCTCCTGTCACAAAGCAGGAAAAGAGTTTGCAAAGAAGTGGAGACCATCTCCAAATCATAGAGATGGTTGGGTTTCCCAAACCAGGAGTCTGAGCAAAACCTAACTGAAATCTGCCTGTGATGGACTGGCCTGGCTTGGGGGATATCTGGGGCAGAGTTCAAATTCTTAGCTTCGCGCTGGTCTCTGATCAGAAGGAAAGGAGCATTTTAGAGCTGCGTCTCTGTGTCACCGGGGGAGTGGAGGTGATGATAGACGAGACCACCAGCATCAGAGTAGTTCAGGCGGAGGTGGATAGACTGAGAGATTGCAGGAGTTTGGACCAGCTCAAGGTAGTAGATACCAGATGTCTGCTCTATGTGTCATTCTTTCTCCACTAACACAAATTCTGCCACATCGATGCCCCCGAGCATCCCAGGCATCCCCATTCCTTCCACCGAGACCCAGATATCTTTTGCACCTTACTCAGATGCAGATGCCCCAGTTAGCTGACACACAGGTCTCCCCTGCTGCTCAATCCAGGCAGTTTCCTGTCCAGCTCAGCTTGAATTCCCCCTAACTCAAACCCAGCCATCCCTGTCACCCATTAGCTCAGGCCTCTGTCACCCCTCACCTGGCAATTTCAAGTGCAAAGTAACCCCCCTGAAACTTTCAGATCTTTTATACCAGGTCCAAGCCCTCCCCCTGCTCTTTATCGTGTGAACCTCACTTCCTGAGCAAATATGATCAATCTCTTAGGATCGGTTGTTAGGCAGGGTCTGGAACTTCTTATCCTGCCTCTCCCCCCAAAGGTTACAGGTCATAGGGTGGGGTCCACTTGGGGCCAAGGCCCAGATCTCAGGACAGGCAGAATAAACTTGAGAAAAGGTCACCAACTGAGGGGCCAGAAGCTTTGGGTGGGCGAAGTTGCTACTCACTTCTGGGTGTGGTCTAAGGTTCTCCCTCCCCTCCTTGGGTGTTCTGCAGGTGCTCCTCCCTGCAATCTGTCAACTTTCAGGATAAACACTGTCCTCTCAGGGCATTTGAAATATAGATTCTCCTGGAAAGGGATTATACTCCCAATGCCCTAGACTTAGGAGTGTCTACTATTTTCCAGACAATTTTTTCTGTCTGTCTTCCCTGTTACTTTGTATAGAAAAAAAGTCCAAACATATAGAAAAATTGAAAGAATTATACAGTGAACACCCATAAACCCCCATGTCAATTCTACCATGGTTAATATTTTGCTGTGCTTGTTTTTTTTCCCCCCCATCCCCAACCATCCCCAACCTGCCAGACTGTTCACAAACCTTTTCGGAGAAGGGTAACATGGTGTTGCAGGTGGACACTGAACTCCTGTAGATCCCCCTCCTGGGAACAGAGGTCCAGAGGGCAAGTGGAAAGCTAAGGAAGTAAAAGTAGACAGGTCCTCCTTTGGAGGCAGTTCTGGGCTCAGGGCCTTAGGACTTCCAGGAGTGACGGCCGAATCTTCTGGGGGCTACAGCCCACACTGGACAGTTGCTCTTTCCCATAGGTCTGAAACCTCCCCAGGATTGATGTAATAGACTTCTTCTCTTTGGAGGCCCTTCCCTTCCACCTAAATCCCTAGGACAGACTCCTGAGTCCTACTTCCTGACCCCTCTAAGACTGGCTCTTTGACCCTCTGAGTCAGCAGATCCTCCCAAGCAGAGGGAAGGATGGAGCCCAGGGAGGGGCTGGAGTCATTAGCCTCAGTTCTTAATGACTAGTAGCTGGACACACAGAGCACCCACCCATCACAGGCTCACCATCTAGGACTGAGGACTCCTCCCAAGAACACAAGGGAGCCACACCCTAAGGAGCCAGCAATAGGACAGGGCTCTTCACTGGAGGTTCCAGAACAAGGAGGGCAGCCCAGGACACGTTGTCTGATGGCTCTTCTCCAAGTTCAAAACAAGCCTGTCCTGCTGACATAACTTCTTCATTCCAGATATTTTGTTCTGTCTCTTGTCCTCTCTGGCTTTCCTTTCTTTCCCGATTCTCTGTCTTGATCTTTTCCCCTCATCTCCTGTTCTGAGGATTTTTCTTTATATTCCCTCTCTCTCTGCCTTTTTCTTTCTGCCTCTTTGTCTCTCCTCCTCCCCCAAACTCTCTCTTTCCTGTCTCCTCTCTCACTATTGTTTGTCTCTCTCCTCTTCCTTATTAGTATATCCCACAGGATGGAACCAAACACCAGATATCAAAGATGGCAGTTCTGAGAGGTCTGAGGTGAACACCTTGGGAGAACGCCCTCGTCTTCCCATGCATGACACATCTGGGACCCTCCGAACAGAGGCCCCCACACTTGTCATAGGTTCACTCTGAGGCACTGACTCAGAGAGCCAGAGTCTCCCCCATGCCTGCAGACTGGCCCCTGGGTTCCCCACAGCAGGCCCTCCAGCCCCTCTCCGGAGGGTAATAGAGGCCTTTCTTCCAGTGCGAGGGGTCTCCTGAGAGACCGAGGGGTCATCCTCGGTCGGTCCCAGAGACCAGATAGACCATGGTGCGGCTAATGTGGGGACGTCCAGGGTTTGCTCTGATGAGGCGCCTGAAGAGCCAGGAGGAAAATGGTGGAGGCAGGATACCCGGCCCACCTCTGCTTCCACTTCATTAGCTCCTGTTTGAACTTCTCACATTTTACCCATGTGTCTGCTGGGGGCCTACCTGCCTTAGTCCTACAGGCAGTGGGGGTCACCCCCTAGGGTCCCACAGGCAGTGGGGGTCACCCCCTAGGGTCCCACAGGCAGTGGGGGTCACCCCCCTAGGGTCCCACAGGCAGTGAAAGACCAAAGCCTTCCCAGGCTTTCCACTGTTGCAGGCAGCTTAGGTTCCCTCCCTGTCTTCTCTGCCCTCTTGGCAAAGCAACTTACTCAACACATTTATGGAACATCTGTGTGTTGGCCACACGCTCTAGATGCTGGAGAGACAGCCACGGAGGAGAGTCCCGTGTACCCCCAGGAGCTTTCGCTCCAGGCTCCAGGGAGGCCGTCAGACAATCGAACAACTGTTGGCACATGACAGGCCCTGAGGAAATAAAGCAGAGTGAGCCTCGAGCAGGGCTGGGGAAGGCGCTGCTCTGCCCGGGAGGCCGCCCTGCTCCGGTAACGTTCCCGAAGACCTGACTGAACGATGGAGAGAAGACAGGTGTTTGGGTGAAGACTGGGCCTGGCGAAGGCACGAGTACCAAAGCCCTGAGCAGGGGTGTGCGGGGCGGTGTGCAGGCAGAGTAGAAACGGGGGGGGGGGGGGGGGGGGGCGGAGCCTGTGGTAAGTGTGGAAGCCAGGGGGAGGGGAGGTCAGGGGGCAGACGGTGCAGGGCCTGGGAGGCCGTGGTCAGGAGTTTGGATTCCTCCTGATGGTGAGGGGAGCCATGGAGGGGTTTTGCCTTTTAAAAAGTGGCGAATGGAGGGGCGCCTGGGTGGCTCAGTCGGCTGAGGTGGGACTCGTGGTTTCGCCCAGGTCGTGATCTCCGGACTCCGCTTCTCCCTCTCCCTCCCCCTCTGTCCTTCGCTCGATCGCTCTCTCAAAAAAATAAATAAAATATATTTTTTAAAGATTTTATTTATTTGAGAGAGAGAGCGCGCGCGCGCACGAGGAGGGGGAGCAGCAGAGGGAGAGGGAGAAGCAGGCTCCAGGATGAGCTGGGAGCCCGATGCGGGGCTCGATCCTAGGACTCTGGGATCATGACCTGAGCCAAAGGCAGACGCTTAACCTACTGAGCTACTACCCAGGCGCCCCAGTTAAAAAAAGAAAAAAATTAAATAAAAAAGTAAAAGTGGAGAATGGAGCTCGGTGGGGGTGGGGGGTGGTCAGAGTGCAGCGCGAGCTCTCACTACCACCACCCCCCCGCCACACCCGGCCCCCCGGGGCTCCGCTCCTCCCCTGCTCGGCGCCCGGAGAACTACCTCCTCTCCCAGACAAAGCAGCTTAAGTGCTGGTGCAAATTCAGACCCCGGGGCTGGGGGTGGAGGGATGGGGGGTGGGGGGGGTGAGAATCTAACCCCCTCGCTCCGATCACGGATTTTCCAAAAGATGTTTCCAGACAATGGCAGATCTGTTTCCTGTTCAGAAAACAAATTCTCCCTCTCCTCGTGTGTGCCTTGGGTCTCCCAGCTGGCTTCATTTGAACAAAGGGTTTTAATACAAAAGCAAAATGAACATTTCTGTTCATCCTTCACTGTTCCAGGGAGGAAACTGAAGTCTCGCGAGAGAAGTGACCCCACTAAAGTGGCAGAGAGGGTCCCTCCACTCCTTACCCTCCTGTCCCCAGTGCCCCAAATGCCTGCCCCCGCAGGGGCCCGCGGTTTACTCTTGCCACTCCTGTTGCCTAAATGTTCTCTGCCTTCTGCTCTCCTAGTATCTTCTACCCTCAAGACGGTCAGCCATACCATCCCCCGCCGCCCCGTACCCCTCACCGAGCCTTCTATCACAGGTGTCCCCTCCCCAGCCCCTCCACTACAAACAGAATTCCTTTCTCTGGCCTCCAGCTGTGCTTCCTACAGCACCAGCCCGGCTCCGATTACCTTGCGCTGTTATTTAACTGTTTACACAGAAGCCTCCGCTACTAAACCTGGAGCCCATTCCAAGGTTCCTGCTCCCCACCTGGCACAGAGCAGGCGCCCCAGAAATGACGCTCAGATGCCCTGGCTACGGAGAGAATTCTATTAAATGCTCCTCCTTTGTCTTTTCATGCCTGTGTCTCTTCTGGCAGGCTCGTGTTTGGGTTCTCTTGTTTCTTATTTCTGAATCTTCTGGCGAAATTCTGTATTCGGTAGAATACTGGACATTAAGATAGAATTTCAGGTTGAGGTCCTCCATCCAACACTCAGTAGCTGGGTGAATGTAAAGAAGTCACTTTATTTTTTGGAGCCTAGATTTCTGCATTTGTAAAATGAGGGGGTGGGTAAAAAGGGTCTCGAGGTCAACCCAAATCCTCAAGGACAATGTTTTTCAAGCTGTAGGTCTTAACTCACCAGTGGACCACAAAATCAGTTTAACAGCTTCAAGACCACAAGTCTAAATACTGTTTCCTCAACTATTGTTTCAGTTAAATACTCTATAACTGTGTGTACTGGCTCATAATATAAAATGTTCTTTCCTATTGTGAATTGCTGTTTCTGAAAAAAATAAACTTTACCTTTCTCAAAGGGTAAGATTCTTTGTATACCAACACAATTCAAAACTGCCAGGCTAGAAGTGGGTTGGGACACCTCTAGGGCAGTAACCAGAGCAGCTCCAGAAACCCACTCAGGTGGAGAAGTAAATGTTAGTAATTTTTTTTTTGACATGTAATTGACATGTAACATTATCAGTTTCAGGTATACAACATAATGACTGGACAAAATGAGTTAATCACTTTTTGAATTTGGAAACCTATAGTGATGGACCAGGAATTCGTGGACAGAATGTTGTATTAGAGACAAGTCTTAAAGCTTGGCTCCTGCCCTTACTCATTCCATGACCTTTGGAGCTTCAGTTTGTTCATCTGCTATAGGAGATGAGACCAACCAATTGTCACAAGCCCCGGGCACGGATCTGGCACACATAAGTACAGAATAAACGTTTATTTTTTCTCTCTCTTTAATTCTCACAAAACATGGCCTTTTTTTTTTAAGAGTTTATTTATTTATTTGTCAGAGAGAGAGAGAGCACAAGCAGGGGGAAACCGGCTCCCCGCTGAGCAAGGAGCCCAACTTGGGGCTCGATTCAGGGACTCCGGTATCATGACCTGAGCAGAAGGCAGGCACTTAACCACCTGAGCCACCCAGGTGTCCCATGGCCTTTCTTTTTATATCTCTTTCAGATAAAGTTGATGAGGGCAAGCCTTGTCTTTCTTACCTGTAGTTAGCTTTATTTTATGGTTTAACTTAGTTCAGATCCTGGAGATCTTTATCAAATGCATTATAAGACTTGAAGAAAGAAAATTTTTTTAAGTTTATTTTTTTAGTCATCTCTACATCCTACACGGGGCTTGAACTCAGGATCCTGAGATCAAGAGTCACATGCTCTTCCAACTGAGACAGGCAGGTGCCCCTCAAAGATAGAATTTTCTGTAAGCTGACTTGAACAACTCAAGTTAAAGTCACTTGGGAATCTGTTCTTAACTTCCTTGTATTGAGCTATGATTACATGGTAATTCTTTTTTTAATCTGTGTGTATGCGTTTTTTTGTTGTTGTTTGGTGTTTTTTTGTTTTGTTTTGTTTTTTTAAGATTTCATTTGTTTGAGAGAGAGAGCGTGAGTGGGAGAGAGAGAGAGCACAGAGATAGAGCGGGAGGGAGAAGCAGACTCCCCGCTGAGCAGGGAGTCTGATGTGGGGCTTGATCCCAGGACCCCGGGATCATGACCTCAACCCAAGGCAGACACTTAACCAACTGAGCCACCCAGGCACCCCATGTTTTTTGTTTTTAATATTTTATTTTTAAGGGGCACCTGGATGGCTCAGTTGGTTGAACGTCCTACTCAGTTTAGCTCAGGTCATGATCTCAGGGTTATGGGATTGAACCCCACGTCGGGCTCCCCACTGGGCATGAGCCTGCTTGGATTTTCTCTGTCCCTTTCCCTCTGCCCCTCCCCACCCAGCTTGTGGTCTCTCTCTCTCTCTTTTAAAAAAGAAAAAAATGCACCCCCATTCTTATCATTTTTCACAGCTTTCAAGGTTGGAATCTCTGACTCTTGGATCCTGAGTAGCTGGTAAGTGACATCCGGCAGACCCTGAGCAGTGATGAAACGCTCCTGAGCTCAGCCCTGTCTTTATTCCCTGCTGGCAGCAAGATGGCCCCCCCCCGGGGGGGTGGCGGGGGAAGGCT